AGCAAATCAGCATATTAGAATGATTTCTGAAGGATCATGTGACACAGATGACTGGAGTAATGATGCTGAAAATTTCGATTTGATCACAGAAATAAATTACATTTTAATATATATTTAAATAGAAAGCAGTTATTTTAAATAGTAAAAACATTTCACAATATTACTGCTTTTGCTGTATTTTGGATCAAATAAATGCAGGCTTGGTGAGAAGCGACTTCTTTAAAAAACATAAAAAATATTACTGTTCAAAAACTTTTGACTGGTAGTGTATGTATGTATCACACTCATATCACATCTAGTTGTTTTGAATAAGAATAAAACGTCAGGTCCGACAATATTCGCATTGACCCATGGAAACCTCTATGAACACACTTGACTTGATTTGGCAAAAAAATCGCGGGGGACGAATTTACATTTTATTAAAAAGTGTTTTCGTATTCTACACTCATGGCGCGCACACACATTAGGATAGGTTAGATGCCTGCCTCTGCGAGTCCCTATCAAGCACTTTACCGATTCAACTACTCTCCTCTCCTCCTCCTGCCTGGCTCTTTGGCCAGAATCACTCACCGCAGAGCAAGCCTGTTCTTGATAAATCTGCTGTGAAAATGTGGGAAAAGCCGACGAGGAAGAAGTTGGAGTGAAGCGATCTTCATATAGGCGGAGCAAAGTACTTCATCGCTCCGTCTATAGCTCATTGTGATTGGATGGTTTACTCTGTCAATACAGGAGACAATCCAATGGGCCACTGGCTGCTCGCTGTCCCTGCGTGATGGTCCTTGGCAAAAACAAAACAAACAAAAAGAACCTTCTGTCGGCCCCTTAAGTCCGTCGGCCCACCGGGAAAATGCCCGGTATGCCTGATTACCAATCCAGCCCTGGGTTCATGACTGAACTGAGCATATATTTAAGGTCCCTTCGGATAGATGTGCATACTTATCTGCACTCCACATAGTCTGCAGTTTCATAGTCGTCAATGAAACTAAAATTAGAAAACACAGCTATAAGGTTACATTCCATTTACAGTGCAGAGAGAGACGGCCCATAAATGTAGAGAAGCTGAGACAATGTAGGCATCACAAATGTCTTTTTAGACTTTCATTATCTCTGCAGAGAAGGTAAAAGAAAGGATGCAATGTTTGGCAACCATAAATTCAGTTTACAATTTCATCTAATCTACATGTGACACACTACTACGTACTTCTGCAATTCATAAATTCTTATTCAGATACATCTGTACTATACAAATCACAGTCAACTAAAACAACCGAAAAGGCTGCTATACTGTGGGTATCTAAAAAACACTTCTGTTAAGGACCTCAGATCACAAGGACTCATTACATGTTTACGTGAGATAAATCAGAAGAATGAGGTTTATAGAAAGAGTGGCTTTCAGGCCGAGTGCAAGGTTAAAGGTCACTGAAAGCTCTGGCAGATCAAAATACAGTTTCAAAAGAGAAGTGGGGGGGGGCAGTTCTGTGCACATTTAATGATGTTAAATCCTAAGAGGTCTATTAGAAAAGGAAGGGAGTGAACTTTTTCTGGAGTCTGATTTTTTTCTGTAGCTAGGCCTAAAGATTTGTTTATATAAAACACTAATGTTTATTGGGTTGTTCCGCCATTATACTGATCAGGTATCAGGCATCCAATCTTTTTTATCAATAAGGTGGAAAGTCTTTAGTGGAAGCTTCAGTGAACTGTCAACAGCCAAGTCAAAAATACATACATGATTTAATGGATCTGCTCAATGGATGCACGTGATTTTTCATTTTCAAAAATAAATATGCATTTAAAAACAATATAAAACTGGTGTACTAAAAAACCCAGTACCTATTTCCAGATGAATGGGTTTCATGAAAATACACATGATAATTTACACTTACATACACATCAAGCATTCCTAAAATGCAACAGTTTTTATACAACAGTGCCTTACTATATAGTAGACGAAAACAAATATGTTAAATGAGTAGTATGTCCTAATTTGCAGTATTCATAAAACACTAGGCATAAAATTATATCCATTTGAGAGGCACTTTACTTTCCCATAAGCCCATGGGAGAAAAGTTGTTATAATACTAAATGGCACTGAACATGCGGCTGATGCCATAGGCCACATGTCAATACCACACACACATGCATACTTATAAAACGTAGTTTATTAAGACTCAATAAGTAAATTCTTCATCAAATGCAGTACATAGGCCTACTCTAAACTGTACGTGATTTTGGAAGTAGCTGCTCCACTCACATAGCCTACTCCAATCCAGATTAGCTTTCAGTCTGTGTGCTGCTTGATTTTTTAAACTATTCACGAGTTTGCACTTGCATATAATAGGATTTATCAAATATTAAGCATATTTGGTGTGCTGTCTTGAAGGAGGGCTCCGAGCTCAGAATATAGCCTGAACCCAGAGAACTTCACCCCCAGTATGGGATGAGAATAGTTTAAGAGTGAGGCGCTGGGGTGGAGGAGGGATGCCGGAAAACTGTCATGGGACAGAGGTGAGTTGGCTGTGTGTGTATATATATATATATATATATATATATATATATATCATGCTAATTAATTGATCAACTAGACGAGCTCCACCTGTGCTGCATTGGTTGGTTATCTGATCTTGCTCTTTCCGAACCTTGTTAATAAAACATCATTTTGTGTTGCTATAAACCATAGAGATGACTAGCCAATTGCCTGAAACGCAAGTTCCTGGTTATCATGTTTACTAAGCTGATGTATAAAAAACAATATCACGCTGTGTCAAACATCAGCACTGCTGTGATTACCTGCTGCGGCCTTGTGATACTGCTTTACCAATTTCCAATTCTCTCCATACAAATCCCCATTTGTCTTTAAACACGAGGCTCAATAGGTGCACTATGAAAAATGCAAATACACATATACACCCAGTATTCTCCAGGAGCTCTTAGAATATGGGAGATGGTGGCTTCCCCCTCCCCTCACCTCCCCTCTTCACCATCGCTTTCTCTCGAATGAGACCGAGCTGAGAGACTGCACATGCTGACATCAGCAAGCCTCGGCGCGCCACAGCGCCGCCCGTTACCGTCACACAGCACCGCTCACCTCGCGCCCTTACCGTGCGTAACACACCGAACACACACCCCAGAAATAGACTCGATTCATTTTGCCACCGAAATAACTTGACAAATAAACGCCTAGAAATATTCTAATGAAACGTCCGCGAACAAATCATGCGCTCGCTCGCTCGTGTTTTTCTTCAGCTATCATTAAACCAGCGGCAATGTGATTCGTGTTTTAAGACATTTTCAGGTGATCTTACACATGCCACACTCAAGCGCACTATACCTGCAACCGGAGGCCCCAGGGTACTCACTGAGGGGGTTTAAAAGGATATGGCCATTCGGTGATCTTTTTGGCGTATTTTCTCACGAAGTTGTCCTCACTGAAGATGAACAGAGATCGGTTGACAGTGAAGCAGTTTTGCCGCACCGGTATAGGGTTGTACAGGGCCATAGTTCTGGCTCGTTGGGCCATTGACTGCTTGTACACTCTCTGCTGACCACCCGGCGGGCCGCCCTGCCTGCTGCCGCCGCGACCGGGTCCCCCTTGAGCGTGTCCCGGTCCTCCGCCATACCTGGACGGCACCTCATCTCCGAACCGAGCCATTCTATAGACACCAAATGCCAGTCTTCACGAAGCAGGAAAAAAGGGGGCGAATATTCAACGCGACCACACCACATTACATCCCATCTGCTTCAAAACTTAATACGTGTATAACTGGAGTACACATTTGTCTTCATGGCTTTTATATGCGATGTTACGCTCCAGGAGCTTGATGGTTAGATTTTAAGCAAACTAATAAGAAAACGAACAAAAAACAACAACAAAAACAAACCAAAAAAAAATCGAACAAAAAAAGCGCGCCTTATATTTTGTAGTTCACAGGTTCGTTGCCCACTTCAACACACAAAATGGTCCATCATCACCTCATTTTATGTCCACAATCAACATATTTCCACGGCCATGCAATTCTTGGCTAAATCTCTCGTTTTCTGTGGCTCCATCCTCATATTTTCCAGAACTGTCTCTCATCCGCGCTTTTCCTTGGAAATTCAGGTTGCAATTATCATAGCTACAATCATTTATACGATCTATGTGTGATGGCTAACCAAGTGAACAAAAATGGAAACATTTAAAACAATCATCTGAGTTCAGTTTTATTAACTGTACATTCTGATGATCACAGTATCCATATCCATTTAAAACAGGAAAAAATAGGATAAAAATTATTATTTATTTATTTCGCAACATCCGCAATATTTGGCACGGTGTAGCTATAATCTGCCTTCGGTCACCTCGCGCTCACGTTTACTCGCATGTATTTGCATCTCAGCTACGGAGAGATGTGCGATATCTGATGTTAATTCCGTTTTCCTCTTCTTCACGACACAGGTAATTATTCGGATGCAATAACAGATCTCACAAGTATCGATTGTTTGTTTTTTTTTGCTCACTGGTAAGGTGTCATCCTTTTCGCCAGAGCTATCACTGGCATTTCAGTGTAAAAGAACCAATCCAACCGTCATAAAATCCAATGAGGGGACACACAGTGACAGAAAGTAGAAGCATCAGTCGCGAGGGGACAACGGCGACATCTCCGGGTTCCCATAGCCGCTTGTGTTCCCCTGCACTGGGCTCTGGGCCGAGTAGGATCTGTTCATCTTCCCCGAGTGTGAGGGCAATGCATTCGTGAGAACACTCGGACCCCTCTATTCCTTATTTCTGCCAATGTTGAGCTGTCTGTTAGCCTCGTTACTCTCAGTCAAGCGCCCCTGAAGAAAAAAAGAGGGGGAGGAGACAGTTGAGGACGAGTGTGGGGTGGGGGCTCGCAGGATATCAGCTTGTGAAACACAAGCCGAACGAAACAGTTAGCTCCGATCAGCTGGCACGCTAAGCTATAATGAGCCACTGATCAGTTCAGCGCTCTGGCCAGTTCTTCTTGCAGCACATGACGCACGGCGCACGCACCCCACTGACTAATTTATTCTTCTGACTCCGGTCTGTACCTGAACCGACTGTTGAGTCTCCACCGAATGCGTTCTCAGCCTCAGCTCACCTGCCTTTGCCGCATGAAAATACCGTCGGTTTGCTTTTACGACACTGAGGGGTTGTGCAGTTTTGGAGATAACGGAACGTAACAAGCCGACAGCGCGTTGTCAGGTTATGGACTGTTTGTGCCAGTGGTGGGGATGTGAGCGCTGGGAGACAGCTGCGCATTCAAACGCGCGTCTCTCGGGAACGGCTCCGCTTTGCTAGGGCACGTAGGGCGAGGACCGACAGGCTATTCTTAGACGCAGACATTTCGGAATTAATAGACGGAGATTTCCCATCAGTACAGCTGACAACTCTCCCTCTCCTCCATCCCACCCATTTTTTCAACAATAGTGAAAAAAAAAATGCTTGTTAAATTTACGGTACAGAAAAAATGGCACCTGTGAAATTTAAGCTACCTTACAGAAAAATGCCGTAAAAATACAGTAACGATGTTACAAGCATCAAGCATACGGGGATGGCATTTTGGTGGCTGTATTTTGTTTAGTTCAAACTGTAGGTCTATGTGGTTCACGCATGGAATTGGGAATTGGAAATGCACCAAAAATTGTACATTGTAAAAAAAAAATAAAAAAAATAACCCGTTCTATTTTAAATTTAAAACACACACACACACACTGTAAGTTGCTAACAAATTTACAGTGCAGACTTTTACATATAATTAATCGCCAACCATTTAAGATAGGCTATACATTGAGCACGGTCTCATGAAAATGTGTTTAAATAGTATGTGAAATACAAACAGAAAAATCGTGCGATTGATAGAAATTGACTTTGGCGTGCATATGATACGAACGTGTTTGACGTGCAAATAATAGCAGTTGTCGCGTGCATATGATAAGCAATTTGTTGGCGTGCATTTAATACGCAGTTTTCGCGTACACCTGATCAGCATCTACCCCATAACCCTAATCCTACCCATTACGTATCACATGCACGTCAAAGTCAATTTCTGGGTATAAATAGTACGCCAAATTGAAACATTAACTCTTGCTTTTGATACGCACTTTCATTAGATCGGGTTAATACATTAGCCATGTGACCATGTGATGTGTTAGAAAAACGGGTTTGAGAGTGAATTAAGCAAGAGCAACATGCTTTCGGACACGGTTGTTTTGCCGCGAGTGGCAAAAATCAATAGACCCGCGCGACCTTAACAGTGCCCATCCGATATCACAGTAAGCAGTAAGCAGAGGAGGATATACAGTACTGGTCCTCCTAATGCCCCATCCCATCCCATCCCAACGTCTAAAACAAGTGGACACAGTCGTGGTACGGCGGACAGTGCCTCTCTCCCATGTGTAGTTTTTATCAGTTATACCCCTGCTTGCCCACCTTACTGCTAAAAACTCCCCCTGAAACAAATCAATAAATAGGCTACAACAATACCACATGGCCTGCTACTGCTGCGAAAAGAATTATGTGAACTTGAGCGGGGGAAAACAATCTCTGCTCATCCCTTGATCTTGTGCAGCAAGCTGTTCACTATCTGAACCAGCACGCGTGTGGTCAACCGTACGTGATGCGTTTAGCGTCAGTCCGGAAGAGCCCGGGGTCAAGAGCTCAAACAGGTACCAGCCTCCCTCTAGGCTTCAGTCAACAACAGATCGACAGCGGCTGGGCTGACAGGCGACTTTCTCCTGTAGCCTTTGTCTGAACGAACAGTCAGACTAAGCGACAGTCAATTGAGTGTAGCGAGCACACTGCATCATACATTATGGCTTTTATCGGTAATATCCGAGTAATTTTAGAGCTGCATCCTGTTTAAGTTTGTGATTATAAATCTATTATAAAGTGATATTGCAGCTATATATTTACCTTTTAAAGCACCGCAGCGTAGTTGCTATGATTACTTCCTAAGACGTACGCGAAATCTGTTCGAAAGCGTTTATTTTGCGCAAGGTAAAAATAAGCGTTCTGAGTCAGCAATTTATAATATAACTTTTGTTGTTATTGAAACACTATTTGAAACACAATTGAAACGTAAATAATAGCCTAAATCTATTACAACTAAATCTGTTTGGCATTTGTGCTATTTAAACCACCCTCGGCCTTTGGTTTGGGCGGTTGCATTAATGAAACCTCAAACCCCCAAACAAAGTTTGATCTGTAAGCTCAGTTAGGCAAGAGCACCGTTCTAATGACAGCCGCGAAGGCAGCTGTCCATGGTTCTGAAACACTGCACATAGCCGTGGATCTAAATTAAAAATATAATATACCAAAATTAAATATAAAACAACTAATGATAAACAAAATAATACAAAATATAAACATGTAACAGCTACAATGTAAACATCTTTCAGAACATGCAGAGCATTTGCTTCATGTAAAGGCAGTTTGGTTTCTATATTAACATAAACTTATATTCCAAACAAATACCAGTTCCAAACAAAAGTCGTGTATTTGCAACAATTTCTTACCCTAATTTTATTAAGTAATTACCACTAATATCAGCCAAGTATTAGACTACAGTTACTGTTGCAGATCAATGTGTGGACACATTATATCCTGCTTACATGCAATGTGCTGGTTTTATGATTTGTAGAATTATCTTTCAATTATTCCAAGTGACCAAACTTGAGAACTGGTGAGTCAGAGCTCTAAACTGTGGCCTAAATTCATTAATCAAACTATGAACAGAGGGGAAAAAAAAACAAAACATGCAAATTAAACGCTATATAAAGAATACATCTCCACTGTAAAGTAATCGAACACCCAAAACACAAAACAAACCGAGACTCATTATCTTTGGAAATCAAAACTGCCAATTTAGTGACTGTCCTACACAGTCTAGCAGCTCCTACCCCATAAAACCCTGATCAAGACAAATCCTGCTCATCATCCTGACAGCTGCCTCTGTACAAGAATTTTGCACAGCTGTGATATTACATTGCTAAAAGACATTTAAAACATCCACACATTTTAGACAACACAAATGAAGGGCTTTGCTTGGCACTATTGGGACCAGCGAACATTTTTTGGCCATTTAGAAGATAATGAATGTATAAAGAGTGTATATGTTCATCTAATTAAGTTATTCTTGTGTTACCACTAATCTTCTTAATGAAGAGTTTCTGTATATTGTGCATGTTTACGTATTGATTATGAATGCAGTCTCAGTAGTGGGGCTGTATGCTGTGATGTGTGCTGTAGTCCTGTTGTGTCAGCCTTGTCACACAGTTGGGGTTCACAAGGCGATTGCTTTTGAATGCCAGAGCCTCTCTCCTGCTGCCAAGCAGAAACACCCCTCCCTTAGTGCATTATTAAAGCATGCCACACTAATCTAACACAGCAGCACACTGAAAGCACACAGCCAGCCAAAGAAAAAGAGAGAAGTCAATAAGATGTCTCACTACACTGCTCTACAAAGGCAAAACGAGCTGCACATTTTGCCAAAATTGAATTATGAGTAAATTCCGGTCTCTTAGACTGTGATTTGTCCTGTGACAGACGAGTTTGGCTCAGCTATGCTCAGATTCAGAGAAAACATGGTGTGAGAATTGTCATCAAATCAATCAAAATTCAATCAAGTGCTCAGTGTGCCCATAAAAGTGTCACATGTAAATCTCGCAAAACAAAGGCAAAAGCATAATGCATCAGTTTGCATGTGTGCATTCAGTGACTGCATATAATGGTGATAAAGAGATGGTAAAAATGTGAACATACGCACACAGGGCCGATCAAGAATTCTGAAGTAATGCTGCTGTGTATTTGCAGCAGAAGCTAAACTCAGTGACTCATAAAATTGAATAATTCATAAACAGCATGTATACCAGGTTCTCTGCTCCTTATTTAACCTTATCTTCCAGATATAAATCCTACTGGTCAGTGGAAAGGGCCGCATCGCAATATATAACCTCGGTATGTTAGTGTGTCAGATGCAATAAACACGCACTAGAGAAAAAAGGAGAGTTGAACACATGATTGCTTTGTGTGTTTATGGGCTTCTTTAGAGGCTCATTTATGCTAAATATTTTATACAATTAAAATGAAAACACAAATAATATACACTTTTTGGCACAGGTAAGAGACAAAGATGAATATGTAGCTGTGATACGGAGACTGTGTATGAGAGCGTAAAGTGGGCCATCGTCCTCTGAGCGGAGTGTTTTATTTGGGGAAGA